CACGGCTGGGCAACGTTCTTCGCCCTCCTGAGTGATCTAAACGAGATGGGCCAACTTGAAGGAGGTGAATATTTTGAGGCGTTGAAAACAAAGCAAATAAAGAGACTCACTCCTGTGTGTAACTGCAAATGCTGCAGTTATAGTTTTGAGAAATTCTTGAAATCTATACTTTACTGGTTTTGTTATGAAATTTTGTGTCTGAATCGGATTTCTGGCATATAATTCACCCATGATGGAGAAGTGGTGGCTGATATTGATGCGACATGAGCAACTTAGTCATGGAATAACAGTTACATTTACACTTTCCTCCTGGCAGACATTTGGGTGGAGAGGGTGAGACCAGTCATCGCTAAGAACTGGAACTTCCAGCTCCTCAAAAAGAAGCTCTGGGTATTCAAGTGAGTCTCTTCAAGAAGTTATATTACTCCTGTTCTTTAGCAAGCAGTCAAAATTAAGCACAATTTGAATCTCAATAAGATATTAGTTAGCGTTAAAACTGTAATATATTAAAGGGGTGATAAGAACCTTTCGCTCCAGGGCACTCCAAGCTATCTCAGCCATGGACACAGACCACGCTGGCTATCACAACTATGGGCACAGACCACGCTGGCTATCACAACTATGGACAAAGACCACATGGGTGTCAACTATCCTGGGCGACTCATCTATAGACAAATGTCATCGTGCATGTTGACTATCAAAGCTAGCACGGCCATGCCTAAGACCTCGTTGATGTTGACTATCCAGGCAGGCACTGACATAAGCCCATACGAAATAGTTTCAATTCATACATGTGTATGAATTGGACATGTATTATGTACATGGACGTGTACATTAACTATTGTGTAACAATAGTGTAACAATAGCTTCAAGAGAGTGTCACTTACTTAGTTAAACGAACTATGGGGTACAGTTTCTGAACCCATTATATGCCTCTGTAACCCTTTCCACCACCACCCACGGGATGGGTATGGGGTGCGAAATGAAGAAATTGAATTCATACCCATCCATACTCATTCATATATATGTCTAACCTACGCTTTGGATAATCCATCGAACCTTCCTCTATTAATAAGTTACCCCCATAATTTGTACCATAATTTCCCAACCCTGTTTCCAAATCAATACTTAGCCAGGCATTTTCTGAATCCAAACTTATACTGTTAACATCCACTATTTCGAGTTCTATTTTGTGTTGTATACCCAAAACTTTATTCATACCCCTATATCCAAATATAAACCTTAACTATGTACCCTCCCTACCCACTCCTCCTTCAATTGAAAGTAAATTGTCTTCATAAGGGATCACTTCAATTTCTGGGATTAACTTTGTCATCCATCTGATGAAAAAAGTTTTAATTTTTTTTTATTTATTAAAAAAAAAATCATTTTAAAAATGACGTCTTGTACTTATAACTAATATCCTGTGCAGGTGGCACCACATATGTTTCACGTACGACCACACTCAGCACCTGATCAGCACGTACGTGGACGGAAGCCTCAACAACCACCAGAAATATGATATCGTCCGCACTGTGTCTGGGGTGAAGGCTCGCCTGGGTCAGGGTTATGTGGCTCGTCGGAGCTTCAGTGGAGATCTAACGCAGGTGGGTTCATAACATGATTACTCTTGAGATCTGTATCTTCTTCCTATACTTTTCTCTATTTATGTTTGGAATAACCATTGTTTTCGTGATTATTTGATCTATTAAGTAGATTTATATTGTTTTGAAAATTTATGTATTCTCCGGTTTAGAGATAAACAATATTTTTATAGTATGGAAGCCATTCTGGCATTTGACAATAATCAGTGAGTAAGAATGAGTGATATACAGTATGTGTAACCTTAGCTATTTTCAATTTGTTTGGTGAATGTAAACAAAATCACAATCTTCATTTTTAACCTAAAGTTTTGCCTATTTGGTTTCTCCTCTTCAAGGTGATTAATAATAATACTTTCCTATTAATATTTGTATTTCATTTATTGTATTTTATGCTATTTATATCATACCTTTGTGTGAAGGTACCGAGCCGTGCCAATTCTCCACTAAGGAACATGTAATACATATTTTTCCATAAATCAGTTCATGTGTCCGAGACACCTTGTGTTTACTCAATTCAATACGAATCAACTAGTAGTAAAATAGAGAACTCTGCCCATAACAGGATTGAATAATCCTCACAGGACCTAAAACTCTTACAGCAGTGAGATATTTCACATAATATACATTTTGTAACTAACACAAAATATACAGTGGCTGTATATATCTATGACTTTATATATCTAATGCATATTCTTTGCTTTCCGTCAGGTGAACGTGTGGGACAGGCCGCTGAGTCCGGAAGAGGTGCGGAGTATAGCAGACTGTCAGAGTGACCCACAGGGTAACTATGTGTCGTGGGAAGGCGGCTGGAAACTCCAAAACGTCACCAGTTATAATCTGTCCCTGACAAAACTTTGTAGCGGAGATGCTGGTCCAGCATATTTTTGGTTTGAATGGAGTCCTTACCCGGTGGCGGACTATCTCTGCCTGGCTCTCGGCTCTCTGCTGCCCAAAAACAAAACGGAGGCGATGACTGCTATGACGGTAGCAAAGAACTCCTCATATGACTTACGTACTTGCAACATTGACTATTGGCTTGCTGTCAACGACATAGATGAAGAAGGAGTGTGGAAGATAGGTAAAAATCCCGTGGATATGAAAACGGTCGGCTGGGGGCCACAGGAACCAAACGGTTTACAGTATGAAAATTGTGCAGCAGCAATTGAATGGGGGGTATCCGATATTGATTGTCCATCAAACTTAAAATGCGCTGTCTGTTCTATCAATGAGCAGCAAAGGTTCTCTTTTCTTGGGACATGTGAAAATGAACTGCGAAATTTTTTCTTTACTCCTTTTCAGTATAATGTAAGTGAAATAGTTTTTATTGGCTACGGTGCTTACCTCATTCAGAAAGTAAACGGAATATGGACCTGGGTTAACCACGTCACTAACACAACAATTGCTGAGATGGAGGAATTTTTCCCTGACTACCCTATGGGTCGACGATGGTGGAAGCTGCACCAACCCGTGTGTGACCAGAAGCATGGCGGCCGCCGTCTCCTCTTACTGTCGCCCTGTTCATATGATGACTTTACCTGTGATGACGCCACCTGCATTCCTCTCCACAAACGCTGCGACCTCAAGTACGACTGCCGCGATAACACTGACGAACTTGAGTGTGAACTAGTGGCTTTTCCAGAAGACTATCAGAGCCATCTGCCGCCTCGTGCTGGCGGAAGGGAAGATAAAAGCTTGCCTATAGTCCTCACGATAGATGTAGATTTCTTATCTGTGAGGACCATGGACATGGTCATGGACTTGTCTTATGAGCTGGCGTTAACATGGGCTGACAACAGGCTGAAGTACCAGAACTTGAAGGTGAACAACACGCTTAACATTCTACCAGACGACACTATGCACAAACTGTGGTCTCCACAAGTGAGTTTTGTCAACACCAACGGTAACCAACACACACTGATGGACACAGACACCACCATGCTAGTGGACCGCTACGGTAATGCAATTAGCAGGGATCCAGCTGCTCCTGCTGAGGGTAAGTTGACACACAGTATCACCCATCACTTCTGATGTTCTGTATTTGGGGTCTTAAGATGGAGCAGGTAATTGAAAACCTTAATTATAAGTTAAAAGAATGAAATCACACAATAAACAAATTAGGAATCGTTGTTTAAAACTATAATTATTTTTCCACCCTTAGAGTATTTAAACTCTTGCATTACTTATAATTTAATTTCAGATTACACTTCATAATGGTCTTCCTCTTGATTTTACTCTTGTACTTGCAGTGGACATCTTTTCTGGGGAGACGAATACGGTAACAGCCAAGAGGAAGTACGGTACAGTGTACATGTGTGACCTGGACCTCGTGCTCTACCCCTTCGATGTGCAGGAGTGCTATTTGCACCTCAGGATTACCTCCGCCACAAAGTCCTTCCTCCTCTTCGATGTACTCAAGTCCTCCGTCAATATCTCCGCCAACAAGCTTCTGCTGGAGTATGAGGTGAGTCATCATGCATGCACGATCACTGAAGCCTAGTGTTCTGTCTGTATTTATCATTCACGATGAGGGAAGCCTAGTGTTTTGTTTAGATCATGCACAGTAAGGAAAACCTAGTGTTTCGTCATCCACGGTGAAGAAATCCTAGTTTTATCTAGAGCTTCATCTGTCATGCATGGTGAGGAAACCTAGTGTTTCGTCTGGCATACATGGTGAGGAAAACCTAGTGTTATGTAGTGGTTCGTTTTTCATCTACGGTGATGAAAGCCTAGTGTTTTGTTAGCATCAATTATAATGGGGGAAGCCAACTGTTTTTACAGTATCGTCTACGGTGAGGAAACACTAGTGTCATCCACGGAGAAGGAAGCCTAGTTTTTCAGTGGCATCCACGGTGATGTGAACCTAGTGTTATATGTCTTCATCTGTATTATCCACGATGAGGGAGTCCTTGAGTTTTTTCAGTATCATTCACGGTGAGGGAATCCTAGTGATTTGTTTGTCTATATTGTTCACGAGGGAAACCTATTGATATGTCTGTCTGTATCATCCATGGTGAGGAAAGCTTTGTGGATTGTGTTTCATTAATTATATTATCTATGGAAGGGTAATATTTCGTTTCTTTATATTACCTTCGGTGATGGAAGCCTAGCGTACTTTTTTTTCTCTGACAAATATTATCCAAACTCCGCAAATTATTATTTTATTTCCAAATTACAATTAAAATTAAAATGAATAATTGCCTGCAAAATGTGTGTGCTATTCCGTTCATGCATTGTTTTGCAAATTCTATCGAGTCTTTGGCGATACCGAGAATTTGGGAAATATATTTATGTCAAATTGTCTCATTTAAAAGTAACACTATAAAATAAATATAGATTGCGTATATAAGCTTGCATTATTTTATGTTGATAACCATTAACACTCCTTCGTGTCACCTCTGGCCCCATCTACAACACTCCCCCGTGTCTCCCATCACCTCTGGCCCCATCTATAACACTCCCCCGTGTCTCCCATCACCTCTGGCCCCATCTACAACACTCCCCCGTGTCTCCCATCACCTCTGGCCCCATCTACAACACTCCCACGTGTCTTCCATCACCTCTGGCCCCATCTACAACAGGTCGGGGAGGTGGTGCTGGTCCACGGCAGCTCTGGCATGTACAGTGAGGTGAAGGTGAAGGTGCCATTAACTCGTCGCTCGGGTTACGCCATCCTCACCATCTACATCCCCACCCTCGTCCTCCTCGTCGTCAGCTACGTCACCCTCTTCTTCAGACCCGTCATCTTCGACACCAGGATGATGTCTGCTCTCACCGTCCAGCTCGTCATAGCCACCTTGTTCTCCCAGGTACTCCACAGTGCAGGTGTTCTCCCAGGTACTCCATAGTGCAGGTGTTCTCCCAGGTACTCTATAGTACAGGTGTTCTCCCAGGTACTCCATAGTGCAGGTGTTCTCCCAGGTACTGTGTTTTCTTCACAGAAGACATCAATTGTGTATCTCTCCAGCCCTTGGCAGGTAGGACAGTCAACCTAGGTGTGGTTGGTAAGGTTAGGTTAGGCTAGGAGTTTTGGTTTGTTGATTTAAGGAGTGTTTACTGCACAGGCTGGTACGTTTCTAGTTAGAAGTTACAACATACTCAAGTTGATATAGGAATAAAAATAGATCATTATTCAGCGTTATAAGTTAGTATTATATTCGTTCCTACATCCGTTTGTTTTCATGATGGGCTGGAGCCTGGTGTAACGAGTTAATCCACCGGTTCAGATACCTTCGATCTACGCTTGACACAATTCTTAGTGTGAAATCTTTTTCCTGATTTTTTATCATGCAATAATATGAAATGTTGATATATATCATAGTTAACCATTAACCTATTATATTGTTCAGACATCTTGCTGTCTTCCAAAGTCGTAATCCAGGTCTCTGCCAATTTCGCCAGGTGTCAGCCTCGTTACCCAAGACTTCCTACTTCAAGATGGTGGATGTCTGGCTCCTCTTCTGTATTGGTATTACGTTCCTCACCATCATATTCCACGTCATGGTGGACAGCAAAGTAAACCGGTCTGGAGGAAAATCTGTGCGACCAACTGAAAGTTCCGTTACCACCAGCATCTTAGTGGGACAGAAAGGACTACCTCGGAAACCTGTTCCACTTGTTCGAAGTAAATGGATGAACTTTGAGACAGACGAACAGAAGATGGTTATGCTAACGCGGATAACAATTCCTGCAGTTTTTCTCATCTTCAACTTCTGCTACTGGATATATATAGTGATTTATTGATCATTGACTTCAACCCCAACTACTGCATATTATATATATATATATATATATATATATATATATATATATATATATATATATATATATATATATATATATATATATATATATATATATAAAGTTGTGAGGGGGTACCACCTTTGGTGCAAATGTGGGGACCCATTGTCTCGGAGAAGAAAATAAGGAGTATTCAGAGAAGACCTTGTGGATTCTCACTAAATACTTTAATATTTTCTTCTCCTATCACCCCCATTCTTTTGTATATATACACATATATATTTATTTTATTTAAACTTTGTTACAAAAAAAGGAGTTACATGTAGGGTACAAAGATGATTATCATAAATTGTCGAGTTCCTCCAGCTCCTCAGATGGCAGACAGGAACCCTGAATGCAGTGTGCATTTCCCCTGTGAATCGCCACGCTGAGGTGCTGGAAAAGGAAGCTGGCAGCTCTAGGGTCTCTTGTTGTTTCAATTAGCCTAGAACCCAGTTCCTTCAAAATATTGGTGGCACTCTTACCCCAAGCGCCGAGTGTCTCAGAAGCAATGGGGACAAAATTGTAGTGGTGATGCAGTTCTCTGGACTTACGGGATTCCCTGTGAGTGGCAACGCCACCTGGTTGTGCAACACTGAAGTCATTGTAGGTGTTAGCCAGGATTGTTACACACGTGTCCCATACCAACTGCTTGCCATTCTTCCAGGGGTTCACTGTGATACCATCTGGGCGACCAATAAGAGCATCAGAGTTACCGGGCATTAGGTAACGGGGCTCTCTCTCTCTCTCTCAGCTGGGCATCCAGATGTGGTGAGGCTCCTCTTGATGATGTCGTTAACTTCACTGAGCCTCGAGTGCCATTCCCCTGTGCTTTGGCAGAGTAGGCCGTGGTGCCCGTACTTATCGACCTCCACGTCGGAGGTCGACGAAGGAGATCTTCAGAAGGAGTTCACTCCTTCTGAAGATGTATTAATATACGAAAGTACTTAAGGAAATTCCTGTTTCATTTTTCCTCCGTGGTCTGACATTGTCACATTTTTAAATCACGTGTTTATTTTCGTGATATACACACACACACACACATATATATATATATATATATATATATATATATATATATATATATATATATATATATATATATATATATATATATATACACACACACACACACACAATTTGATAACGGAACAAAATTTTCCTACATATATATATATAACATTAATATATAGCATAGTTGAGTGAAAATCTTCATCTATGTAAATATGCAGCCATATTTATCATTTAACGACGAACAGTTGGGAAAGGTAAATGATTACTGGGAAGTAATCATTTATCTTCCCAGTAAATGATTACTAGGAAGTAATCATTTATCTTCCCAGTAAATGATTACTGGGAAGGCTTCGACCAGAGATGGAAGCAGGGCGCATGATCGGAATATGAGTTGAAGGTCTGCCACGGCCAACTAGATTAGAGAGGAAGGCCAGACCCCACTTGGCCGAGGACTGAGCTCCTGGATAGGCTGCGCACCACCACTAGCCGCTAAGATACTCTCTCCAACATTCTTTCTACGGTAAACTTTATGAAATATTAAATAGCTTGATGCAAGCTTGTTAAGTTTAAATATAATAAATTTAACTAGTTTTTAATATTTGCAAAACATCACAGTTATTGGTCATTCATCATTGGCCTTTTTTAATACTCAAAAGAACACGTATATTTGTTTTGTGTTATATTCATTAGTTTTATTAACAATTCACAACTATGTAAGGTGTGTGAACACTGGGAAGTGCGCCGCTAACATAGTAATATATTCGCTCCCCGTACTCACAAATAACCTGTCTAACGTATAAAATGCTTCTTCTGAAACTAGTAGTGTGAAGAAAGGGTATCATCTTGAAATTAATTTTATGTTTTAAGTATTTTGTTACGGCTAGCTGAGCAACCCTTCCCCTCGAATACTGTAGTACAACGCATTTTGACTAATAAATCTCGTAGGACCAAAAATGGACATGGTAAAAATCATAACGGTAAGGTTAGGTTCGGGCAATTTAGTTATCAGTTTAGTTACGTTATGAACGCTCGAGAGGACGGGCTGGGCTGTGAACATACCACCAAATGTGGGCATACGAGGTGTGCTCTCACATTGTTTATTTGGCCGTGACCGCAATTATGCACCTTAAGACATTATAGGTATGTGTCGATATGAAAATGGCTGCCAAAGAAAAATATATTTAGAGCGTTTATTAAAGCAACCAGTTAATGCTTGAAGAAAAAATATATTTTAATCCCTAAACACTGCTGAGGTTTAAAACTTCCCAAACAAGAGCTTGTGACAAGGAGAATTAGGATTTGCAACTTTCCTGTCATTGATATAAAGAAGGAATATATAAAGCACACGCATATTTTTTCTAAATACATCATACGTTTGTTATCGCCATTCGTCTTGTGCCCAAGTCCCAAAACCTTGTTTGATGACCACGCCCAATGCAACAATCTCTATGTAAATCACAGGGTAAGATTGCAAGACATGAAGACGTCAACGACATCATCAACAGGAGCCTTGCCTCAGCCAGCTGCCCAGCACAAAAAGAACAACACCTATTCAGACCCAAACGAACCTCAGAAGCGCCCAGATGGGGTCTACCTTGCTTCCTTGGAAGTATGGTAAGAAAGTGGTGTGGGACTACACATTCGCTTCCACACTGGCCAGTACCTACCACCAACACAGCACACGTGAAGGGGGCGGCGCTGCTTTTTCCATGGAAGTGCAGAAAGCCATCAAATACAGAGGTCTGGCTGGCAAAGGTCTGCTACAGCTTTGTTTCGATCGGTTCGTGGGGAAAATATGCATTGAAATTCCTGAAGGAATTAGGCGACAAATTGATCAGTGTTACAAAAGACCAGAGAGCGAAAAGCTTCTTGTTCCAGCGACTGAGTGTAATGATTCAGAGGGGGGAAATGCCTGCATGACATTTATCAATGTATCCCATTGGTGTGTTTTTCATTCTACTTGTAATGATTGTGTTGTGTATGTTAAGGCCAAATTTTGTAATTATATATATATATATATATATATATATATATATATATATATATATATATATATATATATATATATATATATATATATATATATATATATATATATATATATATGTGTGTGTGTGTGTGTCAGCTTCCGAATGAACACAGCTGTGTTATAACTGCATATCAGTTGTGTTATAACACTATATCAGGTGTGCTATAGCCGCATGTCAGCCGTATTATTATAATATATCAGTTGTTGTAATATTATATGAATTGTGTTATATCAGTTGTGGTTTAATCGCACATCAGTTGTGTTATAACTGCTGTCAGTTGTTATAACCGTTATTAGTTGCTATAACTATATATGTGTTATAACTGTATATCACAATTGTTACAACTGTATATCAGTTGTGTTATAGCAATTTATCAGTTGTGTTATAACATTCTTAAAACATACAGAAATATATACTGTATGTATGCATGCTTTCCCAGGATAAATGTCCTGTCAGGTAGAATACTGTATACAAAAAAAAGTTTTCCAATACATAAGTTGCAAGCGAAGACTTCTTTACGATCACACAGCTTATGTACCCACCATGTTTATTTGTTACTACTGAATAACAAATAACCCATGAATTCAGTAGACGATAACTTGTTTTGAAAAACATAACTTGCAGTCAAATTACTCTAGTTCGGAAATATAGCTGACAATGGTATCCTTAACCGCGTGTCACTTACACGAGCGACCTAGTGGCAGGTATCCTCGATAACGTATATATCTCCTGTATGCAGAATGCATGTACGTATTGCCATGTTTAGAGAAAGCGATGTTATCCGTTTATATGCCGCTGCGTTTCATACGCCAGCTCTATGTAAACAGGACGGCGTGCGCCACGTTTGGTATACTGGGAGTTAGGTTTACCTGAGTTTACCTGAGAGCCACTAACACGCATCGCGTTTCGGGCAAGTTTAAATGGCACAGGGTTTATAACCCTGCTGGTGAAGAAGCATCTCCGATACTCAGTCCTACATTATGATTATGGCCTGCATCATGTATCAGTATTAGGAGCACCAAGCAATGGTTTTATGTTCGCCTTTCTCCTTATCCACATTTCTCCTCCCTCATTCGCTCTTCTCCATCTTTCTCTTCTCCAACATCCTCCCCCCTCCCTCTTTAAAATAATTTGATACAAATACAGTAGGCGAAAAACTGCAAGAAATATCTCCTGAAAACAAATTCTCTTATTTGTCGACATTTCTTTAAGGGTGACACTAAAGCCGACCCCAAATGGCCTATGATACTCCCATACACGCCAAAATCTATCAATATTTGTAAAATCTCTTGTATGTATGTACCTTACCTGAATACACATTTATTTATTTATTTATTTATGTGCAATCTTGAAAAGTTGGATGAAGCTAACAGACAGATAGCCACTCTCTTTTACAGATATAACTGTAGTAGGAACTTGTGTGGCAAGGATATACACATCGAGAGGTGTCCCCCATTTCTCGGTGTGTATACACTGAGTTGACTTCAGCCTTAAACTATGATCAGGATTAAAGTATACTTGGTGAGTGGTCAGTAAACTTTTGCGGCGCCATAATATCCCTCCAGCGGTTGAGAGAGCTTAAGCGCAATACCAAAAGTAATTTGTTTAGAGCAATGAGTGTATCACACGAAGGTCAAACCTATGCATCATCTCTGGATGGGAGTAACTTAACATGTGTCAATAACTTACCGTGTGTAAATAGCTCACCTCGAGTCAATAGGTTACCTCTAGTCAATAGCTTATCGTGTTAATATAGCTGTGTCAAAAGCTTACAATGCCAATAGCTAACACTGTTTTGGTAAGCTTAATGTGGTAAGCTAACAATAGCTTACCATGTTTTGTGCTACAAGCATGATGGATATCCTGTATTCATTATTTTTTAATGAATAGCAGCAAAATGTCATGCTTTGCGCAGGCAATGCTGTTT